ATATATATATATATATATATATGTGCATGACTTGAATTCTATCTGGAATCCTAACCCTATTGGTTAGTCAGTCGAATCGAGCCAGTAAGGATTTGGTCGAGGAGACTGGTGAACCATAGGTACTGTTTATTGTTTATCGTTTACTGTTTATTGTGTAATCCTTTGGATATGGTCTACTGGATTCGGTATACTCGAGTATTACCATCACTATTAATTTGGAGTTCGGGCCCAGTAGAGGGTTGATTGGTAGATGGAGTTTGGAGTTAAGTGGTGATCTACTGAACTGGTTATTCTACTTGAAAGTTGACGGAGTGTCAACTACTACTTAGTGAAGCTACGGCGGAGTTAACTTGCAAAGGCTACTGTATCCTTTTACCTGAAATTGTTGGATATCTAATGATTTGTTATTTGAAGTGTTATTGCTTATTTTTATGAACTCTTATACTCGCTACTTTGATATTCCAAGTTTTTACAATGGATAATTTGCTACTTGGGTCTGTATGAAGTTTTGGAATCTCACTGAGTTTTGGCTTACTCTATTAGTTTTGTTTTCCTTATAGGGGGTACGAACGTGGGCGTGAGACTGGTACAGGCTAGCGTCGTCTAGTTTTTTACTCTTGTGAATTATACTCACGCTAGTGCTTGATTACAGTTGGAAGTCATTTGGATCTTAAATCTTTTGTTGTATTTTGGGAATGTATGAATATTTGAGATAGACTTGAGTATAAATGTACATTCTAAGTTTGGAACTGTGGTTTTATTCCTTTCGAAGTTATAACTTGTTCTCTTGGAGTGAGTGAGTCCTGGCGAGAGCTGGACAGGCAGTCCGCTAAACCCTGGGGTATGCCCTAGGGAGAGGTGGGATCGTCACAACTTTCCTTTGTAACCAAGGATTTTGAAATTTCTATACAATAATAAATTCAGCATACTATAAAGAGATTGATCCCTCCCCTCCCCACAAATAATGCAAGGCAGCTTCCATTTGCTATCATGAGATTCCAACTAAACATTAGGCAAATTGGTCATGTGAATATTATTCTTTTTTAGCATTTTCTCCCGACCCTATCAATAAAGTAGAAAGACATAATCAATCCACATATATATTAAAATAAGAGAAATTGAAGCAATATGAGATTTTAATGAAGGAGCTCAAGATGTAAAAGTAAAGTATGATCTATCAAATAAAAATCTACTGATATGTGCAGGTCTAGTAAATAAGGTAATTTTCATGTTAGACCATTGCCAATTGCCATCAACTAAAAAATAATTGCAAGAACAAAGTGAACATTAAATGTTTTCAATCAGAACCAAAAACAAACTATCAAACACTACCAATTAAATTACAACCGTGGGAAAACATCATCTATTTTTTGTCCCTCAAATTTTGGGTTAGGGATATATTTCGCCCTCGAACTTTCTGGTGCAATACATTTAATATATGAATTATCAATTTTTAGATGCATTTAGTCTAGAAATGGCATTTGAAAAAATTATCATGATTTAGGGACGTAGTGCTGTTAGATCCCTCTTCTGGGGAGGAGGAGATGGCAAGAAAGAGGCAGCAGAACAAATGTTTGACTTTCTGAAAATTATTGAAGAGCAAGCTCTTGGGGACAAGAAGTTTTTTGGTGGCAACTCGATCAATATGGTGGACTTGATATTTGCCTGGTTTGCCTGTTGGATTCAACCCATGGAACAGTTGGTGGGGATCAAGGTTTTGGAACCAAGTCGTTTACCAAGCTTGCACGCATGGGTCAAGAATTTCAAGGAAGAGCCCATCATCAAAGAAAATCTTCCTGACCCTGAGAGATTGTTGGCGTATTATACGAGGCTGACGTCAAATCTTGTGTCAAAGCCTACTTAATATCACAGGATGGTGGGGATATTGAACTTCTTCCAACATTACTAAATTTACCAATATGTCTATTGAAATTTCACTTAGAAAAATTACTCTGTGGGTTACTTTGTAAGAATAAAGTGTTTTGCACATTTCAAGGTCACAGAATTTAGAAGTTCTAAATTCAAATTCTTCTTTTTGTTCTCAAAAAAAAAAAAAAAGAAAAAAGTCTAGAAATGGCAAATTGATCAATTTGGACAGAAAAGGTCATGTGACCAGCATGCAGCTATTAAGGAAAAAAATTGCTCACTTAAAACCAAAAAAATTCATTGTATTTTTAACTCTCCCTTTCTTTTGTACCTTTCCTCTATAGATTTTCCCCTTTTCATTACCCATTGAAATCCACAATCAATAGAACAAAGAAAAAAATCCAATTAAGGCCACCCAACATCAAGAAAATGTCATTTTGAAAGAAAGAATTTAATGATAATGCATCCCCAAATTACGGTAAAATTTCTACAGTTTATGATTTGTTAGATAAAGAGTTTACAGTGAAAAGTTTTAACTTTTGTGAATATAATACTTAGTTGTGGTCCCTGAGATTTGCATTGTGGGTGTATTCTTATTAATCTTAGTTGCATTGGTTTGAAAGGATTAATTGTGCCTCTATTGAATGTCAGAGTATATATGCTTGAATTATGCACATGTTGTCCCATTTTTTATTGTGATATTTGGTGTTTGCATTATTGGGTGCATTGTTGTTAATCTATGGTCTGCTAATTATTGGTTAATTGATCTATATTTTTTTTTTTATCGCGAGAAGGTAGCACACTCATATCACTAAGATGTCGCTATAGAGGATTGATTTCATAGACTCATCATCCACATTATGAGGGTGCAGATTTATGTATCTTTAACTATGTTGAAAGTGTATTTGAAGTAGATAGATTCACAGAAAATGTTAGTGTGTATGCACACAAAGTATACTATGATTGGAAAGACAACAACTTTAAAAGGATAGACACTAGTAGCAAATGGCATGGATATATTAAGAGGAATGTGGGTTTCATTAGGGAGATTCTATCTTGAGGTCTTATTCCATGAAATTTTAGTTCAAGAACTAGGCTTTGATCCATATGAGATTGGTGAAAATAAAGGAACTAGTGATAATGGCAACTTCAATAAACCTAATGATGACAATAGATGGGGAGGAGATGATAATAGGGCTGATGAGAACAATAATAATAATTCTGATTCAGAGAGTAAATCCTTCTTTTTAGCAGTAGACTCTAATCGAGTAAAAATGATGATTCTAAGTTCCATGATAATGTAGATAATACTGCTGAATGGTTAGGTATAGAACACCATAAGAATTTTTAGCATAACAAGACAACTGAAATTCATGTTGATAATAATTTGGCGATGCCTAAGGACAATGATATTGCCTCTGATTCTGAATCTGATTTTAAGACTATCCATGAATCTGATGATGAAACAACCAGCAGTGAATGTGTTGCATTCAACCCCAAAGATATCGGCAATCCAAAATCGAAATTGTGGATGTTTTTCAATAGTAAAAGAATGCAAGTTTGCTATGACAAATTAAAATATGAGATAGGATGGGCCTTGTAAATTTGTGAAGCAAAACAAAATAAGATTGAGGGCTAAGTGCAGAAGTGAAGGTTGCGACAAGGATAATATCAATGGAAAATTTAGAAGGAAGATCATGAAGAATCTAAGAATGGTGTTATCGACTTTAAGGAAGCGTCAATTGTGAGTGTGAATTTCGAATCGAGAAAATATCGTTTCTGGGGCATGATATTTCAAAGACAGGAATTGAAGAATAAATAAATTCCTTAGTCATAGTCCTATGAGAGCATCATGGAATGGAAGAAATGACATAGGAACTGGAAGATAAAAATGTAGAAAGAATACTCGGAATTCTTACGATTAAAAGTACGAAATTTTGAGGACGAAATTTTCTTAAGGGGGAAAAATGTGAGAACTCGAGAAAAATTATATGTATGCTATGAATTTCTTTTATTTTAATTACTTTGATATTAGAGATATTATATATAACGAATAAATGGTTAAAGTAAATGCCTAATTGAATTCATATAAAAATTGAGAACTTAGAAATATCCTAGAATTGTGTAAAAAAAATTAATTACATGAATCAAATAAACATATGATATGCATATTGTAATTTGAGCCATTTGAATATATTATATGGTTGAATAAGTTACATGTCCAGGTAATTTTTTTAAAAACAAATGTGTGCAAATTTACTAGATTAATGTAAGCAAATTTTTTCAAAATGTGCGAATAAAGATAGGAGACAATTTATGAACTAATACAATTATAGCCGTAATAGGCAAATAAGTTAAAGTTAAAAGATGAAATTACCCTTGGAAGCCTAAATGAATAACCATGCAACCAAGCAAAATAAGCTATTAGAAAATTTTGACAATAGGACCGAGGGAAGGAAAATAATTGAAGAAATCTGGGAACCGAATGGAGGCAAGGCAATCAAATGCTAAGAAATTGGGGCGGACATGGTGGCGGACTCGCTCGCAACGTTTGGGGTGAAGTGTGGCTCTCGATCTATTTTCACGTCAGCGTCTCAGTTGACCCTGCGCTCCAGGGGGCTTTTATCTCTGGACATGCAGAATTTTTGTAATTTTCATTTTTCTCTTAGGATGTAGGGATCTGGATGATTCCTTGGCGTTGTGGTCTGGTTTGTTTTTTTGATGAATAAAACAGATTTTTTTTTCAAAAAAAAAAAATGGGGCGGTGACTGAAGGAAAATTTAACTAAAACAACACTCATTTGAAAGCAGGTAAATGTGCAACGGATCCTCTGTGTCACATCCTGTATCACACCCTATCACACTCTTTATAATCTCGCCAAGTGTCCCTTAATAAACCAAACCCTCAAATAACCCAACTCGGACCATATTAAATTGATTAATCGATTAACCGGACAGATAACTTAATCTCTTTAACCAAAATCAAGTAAAATAAAAACTCTTTAACCAAAATCACAATTTATCAAGGGAAACAAACCTAAAACCCAAACAACCTCTGTCCTCTCTTCGTCATCTTCGCCATTCACCTACCGTTGCGCAATTTATATGCATCACTGAAATTGTTATATATCTTATTCACATGAGGCAAAAGTTTTTTGGCTTTTATGCTTTAGTAGTATGCTTCACGAAAGCCAAGTTATTCACGAAAGCCAAGTTATTCATCTTCACCATTCAGCTTTGACGAAATATTCACGGATATGGTCCGAGATGCCGAAAAGGGTTTGCATGAAGATGCATCCTATCTCACATGAGAAACAACTTTTTTACAAGGACGAGATAAAGTTTCGAAGCTCTTCCCAAAGGTGAGAAACAACTTATTTCTTAAAAACCTTGGTGGGTTTCTTCGAAGCTCTTTCTTATGGTAGAAATATATTTAGTTTTAGTGTAAATTTGTACTGGGTAATGGGTACTTTTGCTTCCGAAGTTTTGTTTTTGGATGCAAAGTTAATTTAGCTTTTGTTGTTTGCGTCAAAGGTCATCAGATTATGTGCTCTCAAACAAAATTGGACGAACCTCACCACCTGTTCGATCAAATGCCTAAGAGGAAGATGAATCAAACTATAAGGTAAAAGTCTGACTTGGTTGCTCCCATATTTTTGCCAGTAGAGCAACTCCTCTACTTCAAATGTTATCTACCATTTTAACCTTTTTTTCCCCCCAAATGTTAAATATGTGCCATTTGGACATTGCCCTTTTTCCATCGATGGCATTTTAATCTTGCATGTAAAAATCTGTAACAAAAGTAGTATATGTCGTTCGTGAATTAGTCTGCAATTTGTTTTTTAGAGTGCCCCCTTAGTTCTACTATTTTTACTTGTCTTACCCCGTAAATCTCAAATTCTGGTTTCACCAATGCCCACGGACATGTTGACTTCGGTGTTCACTAACTATTGAGACCTAATCATCATTATTAAGCTTCATTTTATTTAATCCTGAATTGCTAAATCTTATCAAATTTTACTCGTAACAACTCCTGACTTTTGAAAATTTTTGTGTGAAGACTTCAATAACTATTAAGACCTAATCTTAGCTGATGTAGCTAATCTACCTATTAAATGTAAAGCTAACTCATTGTTTTGTCATCATCAGTTTTTTTTTTTTTTTTTTGTCATTATCAGTTATTAAGCAATCCTAGCATTTACATGGACTCTTGTATATATTTTTGTGTGCATGGAAACCAAACCATTGGAACTACATTATCCCGATATATTTACTCACATTAAAAAATTTTGAATCCGTCACAAACCTGATTAGGATTGACGCAGAGGTTTTCGTCTTAATTAGTACCACTTGTTTCTTGTTCAGAATGGTTGATGGGATCATCTAAAACCTGATAAAGCCTAAAGGTATGTGCTTCTAAAAAAAAACTACTTTTTTTTTATTCTGTAACTATGAATTAAAGCCAAGAAACATGTGTGATCACTGTTTTACTACTGATGATTGTACTCAGTAGGCCATCCTTATAACTTGTCAAGCTTTATCAAATGGTGAGCTCAAAAAAGAAGCTAGAAGCTGCATAACAATTTTTATCCTGTGTCTAAAAAATGATGAATTTCCTTGTTTTAATCACCATGCTCTTCGAATTCTTTGTGGGGTGCTGTGCAACTAACAGAGAAATGGTTTCTCTCTCTCTTTCCCCCAAAGTTCTTTTGTTACGTTTAGTTTTTCTAAATTTTAAAGGATAACTTTACCGATAATTTTAAAGTTACATTTGCTGCAGCAAATTGCAATGGTTTTCTGGTTTTGGTCTATATGGATAGAGGTGCCATCTTGACATGCATTGGTGTGACTAGTTGCAGGGTTTATGTATTCATTCACTTCATTGTTGCTGTTCAGAAAAATCAATGTTTATGAAAATTATGAAAATTAGATTATTGAAATCTCTTATTTGCGGAATGTTATGCATAATGAAGCTTCAATCATGTAAAGCTTGTAACTTTTTCCCTAATACTGCAGGGGTATCTGATATGATGATAGGTTTTTTCAGTCAACTGGAACGGATTTGTGTTACTGCATCTGAGACTATGGAAGCCTATATCATTCTGTGCAACCTTGATGATCGACAAGAAGAGCAGGAGAGGAAAAGTTTCGTGGAGGAGGAGGAGGAGTGGGGTAAGGCAAAGCCATCAACTCTCAAGAATTCGCCGGAGAACAAACTAAGGGAGGCTCTCGAGGAGGCTTCTGAAGATGGGTCATTGGCAAAATCACATGAAATTGACTCTGAGTCTTTGAATCAAAATGGCTGCTTGGGAAGGTCAATATCTCTTGCAAGGTTTAATGCCCAGTTGGAATTCTTGAGGGCAACTGCTCTTTTGTCTGATAGGACATTTTGCACTGAAGAATCCATTCCTGGCTTTAATGAAGCCTTGACTTTGTACGGGTTGTTTTCTTGTTTTCAAATGCTACAGTATTGGGATTCATCTACATTTAGCTTAAAGGAAATTACTGTAAATTTGAGCAATCATGTACTTCGTGGGGGTGCAGAGGAAGGTACTGTGGAGCATGATATTAAAACCAAAATTGTGGATTACTTGAACATTCCTGAGATGAGTTTGTACTTGTTTTTACTGTTAGTCGAGGATCTGCATTTAAATTGTTGCTGAATCCTATCCTTCCCATTCGAACAAGAGGCTATTGAATATGTTTGACCATGAGAGCCAGTCTGTGAGTTGGACGGCTCAATGTGCTAAAGAGAAGGGTGCAAATATATTATCCAGAGCAGCTCAACTAATATATCTCATCTTCTACAGTTTAGTCAAAAGAACGTTTATTAACAGAAATATGAACAAAAATATCAAAAACACGTTGAAGTATAAGCACAAAGTATTATTCCACTTAAAGGTCTAATTAATCCATGAGCGCAATCCCACAGTCTTGTCCTCTATTTCTTCATAAGCATCTTCATTCAATTTTCCTATTTTCAACAACTTGTTGATCAGAATCATCATTATTTTCAAGTTCTTGTGCCTACAAAAACAGACCCAAAGTTAGCAAATATATTGAATTATAATTGTAAATTATCAAACTAATATATATAAGATTAAATAATTAATCAAAATTTTTTCTTACTTGGACAAAACTTATTGATGCATGTTGTTGTGCTATTGAACTTGAAGACATCAAATCATAGCCTTGGTAGAAGTTAGGGTCCAATGTCTGCCAGAAAAATAAGAAATAAAAGACCACACATACAAACAAGCAGCTGTAAACTTGCAAAACTATAATACTTGGAAAAAATTAAGATAAATAAGAAACAACATGCAACTAATGATTGACATAATATCTACAAAAAGCATACTATTCACTTACTTGTAATAATTGTGTCATGTTCTTAGTATTTTGCCTATTGCAGATGTCTTCTATTGGAATTCCAAATTCCTAATATAATTAAAGAGAGACAACCACAAATAAAAAATATCATTGACAAAATATACCTTCAATGTAGTTTAGTCATTTAAGAATAAAATATTCAAATAAAAATTTAGAATGAATTACATATCTACTATACTATACAAGAGAAAAATGACGAATAACTAAACCTGTTGTGGTGGTAATTCTCGAACAAAACCTTGAATTACATATCTACGATACTGTGGTTGTTCCAGTCAACGTATGGCTAACTTGGCTTTCGTGAAGCATACTACTAAAGCATAAAAGCCAAAAAACTTTTGCCTCATGTGAATAAGATATATAACAATTTCAGTGATGCATATAAATTGCGCAACGGTAGGTGAATGGCGAAGATGACGAAGAGAGGACAGAGGTTGTTTGGGTTTTAGGTTTGTTTCCCTTGATAAATTGTGATTTTGGTTAAAGAGTTTTTATTTTACTTGATTTTGGTTAAAGAGATTAAGTTATCTGTCCGATTAATCGATTAATCAATTTAATATGGTCCGAGTTGGGTTATTTGAGGGTTTTGTTTATTAAGGGACACTTGGCGAGATTATAAAGAGTGTGATAGGGTGTGATACAGGGTGTGACACAGAGGATCCGTTGCGAGGTAAATGCCTAACATGTACTAGAATTACATGTTGCATTTTCCCTTTTAGTTAGAAACCGAAAGAAACTATTAGTTGTCTACCATTGGAACCGAGAACGGGGGTAATATACTAGTACTTACTATTGCTTTTTATTAGGAATTGAGAATGGGATACAAACTACGAGCATCTCGTATTACTTTCTATTTGGAACCGAGAGAAACCAATTCATTTGTTGTTGCCTGCCACTAACCACCGAAAGAAAACCATCTCTATCTTCTTAAGCAATAAAATTCGAGTGATAAATAACGGAAGCTTTCTTTTCTCCAACTGCAACCGACAGCAAATAGGACAGCAAGCAATTTGGAGGACACTTGTCCTCATTAGCAAGCTAAGTAACCAGCAAATGTGATTTTGGTCGGTTAAGAGGCAATAAGAAGAAGCTGGCCGTAGTTCCATTGTTAGTCTAGCTATCCGAGAGGTATTAAGAGGAAAAAGGAGAGAAAGACCATTACAACCTGGAATTCATTCTGGCCTCATTCAACCGTAAGAACCAGCCAAGAATCAAGAAGGATTTCAGCTTATCTAGCTAAGCTTCGGGGAGAGAGGGATCAGAAATTTTTCCTAGCTTAAAGCCATTGAGAACTAGAGGTAAACTACTGAATTTTCTCCTATTTTCTGTTGCATTTAGCTAGCAGTATTTTAGACTAAGTTAGAACCAAGTAAAGAAAGAAACTTTCTAGAAAGCAAAGATCAACAAAGCTGGAAATATTCGTTTGAAGTTGTTATCCGATAGTTGATGAGCTAAGCTATAATTTTCTGGTTGTTTCTTACGTTGCATATCTTATGTACACTCTTTAGCCATATATCTTGACATACATACAGATTATATCTTCAAATAAAACCTGTTAAGATGGAATTGTGATGAACTATTGGCTGGAATTCTTGATACAAAGAAGGATGATTGCCGATGGAGTAAAGTTGGAAAGAATTTCGGTTTCTGGCCAAAAGTTTGTTGAAACTGGTTAGGACTTGTTAGTGCACCATCGGTGACCTTAATCTGATCATGCATGTAATGTTTGACGTGCTAAAAGCAAGAATAAACGAACCTTAAAAGCAACACGAAGGCTGGAGTATGAGAAATCTGATGCATGCTGTTATGCATCAGATTTGTAACAAAGAGCAGAAATGAGTTTAATCCTGTTTAGTTTCTGGAATTTTGGTCATAAATTTTCACGTTCTGTTAAGGATAATCAGTAACTGAATAGGCTATTCCCTGTATACTTAGTTGGAACATAAAACTGAAGAGGAATTATGAAGAAACATCGAATAATAGGCTGCTGCTGCTGCTGGAAATTATTGTTTGCAACCGAGGAGAAATTTCTAATTTTGTGATGAATTTTAAAAAAATTCTACAAAAGGGGTGATTTTGGTAATGGATTCCGTCCGGGGGGTCTTCGCATTCGTGAAATGCGAGCTCTACTGAGCTCGCATTTCACGAATGCGAGCTCTATTCTAAGCTCGCATTCGCGAAATGCGAGCTCTACTTATTGAGCTCGCATTCCGCAAATGCGAGCTCTAATTTAATTGTTCTTTGCATGAACTCCTAGTTTGCTGGTTCAGACTTGCGGCTTTGAAACTTTATCTACTTCAGTTGCTGTTTGGTTGTCTTTGTTTGGCCACAAGTTCTGATATGCTGAGATTTGTGTTTATAATCAATAACCCTGGTTTCATTTGAAGTGTTCAGTGTTAAGGGGTATTTGGGGTGATAGGTTCACTAGTTTTGTTTGAAGCTTTGCATGGTTTTTCTGCATCGAAATTTGCAGAAGCATTGTTGTTGAAGAAAAAACTGTTCTTTGATGCTCGCATGATCCTTTCATCTAATTTGTTTTGTGCTTAAACATAAGGATTTTTGCAGCTAAAAGATGGAAAATGTTTAGAATTTTTATTACTATAGTCTAAGTGTTGACTGTTCAAGTCATTAGTTGCAGTCGGATGAAAGGAAACTACATCAGACACCATAAAGGCTGTGCCGCGAGCCTGCTGCCGAACCATCTTGCATGAAGTATTTTCAATATTTGCATGATTTCCTCCTTGTCTTGGCTCTCGAATGCGAGCTCACTGAGCTCGCATTCTGGAAATGCGAGCTCCAATTGGAGCTCGCATTTCCAGAATGCGAGCTCAGTGAGCTCGCATTTCCGGAATGCGAAGACCCCTATTTGCAGAATCCACTCCAAGAATCGCCCTAGTTGTAGAATTCTTTTTTTTTTCCATCATAAACTAAGAATTCACCCGCAACCGAGAGAGTTGAAAATCTGCTAACTTCATTTCCCCAGATTGTAACCTCAAACCATGAGCTAAAAATGAAAAAAAATGAGAGACTGGTGCGGCTTAGGAAGAACTGAAGCAGGAACTAAAAGTGCAGGCTGCAACCTTTAAATTCTAGGAAGAAAGGGGAGGAAAAATTCTATAACAACCTCTTACGCTTTTAATATACATGACACTTAAGCTGCCTGTGAATTTAGCTAGGAAAATGAGTTCTTGGCTGAAGGAAAAATTCTGTGCAGCAACCGAAAAGCTATTAGGAAGAAAATTGGAGAAACCAAGAGTGAAGATTGAAATTTGCAGCTTGCTATCGATATTTCTTAGAGAATAATGTCGAGAGGTATACAATATAGATTTAACCTGAGTTTACATGAGGTTTAGCTGAAGAAAATTTAGATTAAACGCTGACTCTTAACCTTCGGTGCTCTCAACATCCTTTCTCTCAACTTTCGGTGTAAAGCTGTGCAAAGTTGTGTAAAAAGACAATATAACTTTCGGTGCTCTTGAGGTTGATGGCAAGCTGCCCTCCAGCCCAATCCCTTTCTTCTCCCACATTCCAAAAGAAATCTTTTTCTGAACTCTTTGGTAATGCAGCTTCTCAGCCCATTTTGACTATCAACGCAGTGTCTTCGACTCATCGGGGGGAACCTGCGATTCTTTTTCTCAAACTGATTTGGCCACACTTGCTGCTCCATACAAATTTGCTTTGGTTGGTAAATTTTCTAAGGGTCGTCCTTCCTATGGAGGATCTCAGGAAATTCTTCTTATCTCTTGATCTAAAAGAGGCTGCTAAGGTAGGTCTTTTAGACTCCAGACATGTAGTGATTAACTTGGGGAATGAGGTGGATTTTCATCGGATTTGGGCTAGAGGTAAATGGTCTCCTGCTTTCCATGTGGACAAGGAGCCTTCGGTGGTTCCAGTTTGGTTTAAGTTACCAAAATTGCCGCTGCATTCCAGATTGCGGGCGTTTTGGGGAATCCTTTGTTTGTAGATACTGCAACCATGGTGGCTTCCAGGCCAAGTGTTGCTAGGGTATGTGTAGAAGTAGACTTGTTAAAATCTCTTACTCCTAGGGTGTGGATTGGTAATGGTGATCATGAGGGATTTTGGCAAGCTTTAATTCCAGAAAATCTGCCTAAATATTGTTCCCATTGTTTTAAGCAGGGACATATCCAAGATGATTGTCATATGCTATATCCGGATCTTAAAATTCAGAGACCGTTAGCTTCCAAGAAACAGGATGGTCATACACGCTTTCAACCTACTTCTTCACCTGGCTTGGGCACAATAGGCAAACAGGATGATCACTCTGGGAAAGAGGTGGATCCAATCATTGTGCCTGCTACTACGGAGGAGGATGTGGGTGTGGTTGATAAGGAGGGGCCTTCAAAAACTCCTAAAGTCACGACTCCTTTTGTTGAAGACGCAAATATTTGTACTGGGATTTTCACAGAACCTGCTACATGTTCATGTTCTGATACTCAGGCGGTGGTGTCTCAGCATGATCTTGATGGGCTGGAAGATACTATAACGGTGGCTCCCACTGTTGATCCCTCAAACAGGCAAATTGACAATTTGGAACTTATGGCTGGAAAGGAAAACCAGCAAGCCCGTTCTGCTCGTCAGCTGGAGCAGAATACGCTTGTCATTGATATATCTCATTGTGGTGTGCTGAAGGATTTGCTGGCAAAACAATCATCTGCGGTTGCGGATATCTTTAATCTTGACCCGATCATTCAACAAGTCAGTGAAAAGCTCCAGCATGAGGAAGGTTTACAGGTGGTTACGCATGGCAAACCGAAATGTAGGGTGAATTCTTAGTTTATGATGAAAAAAAAAAAGGATTCTACAACTGGGGCGATTTTTGGAGGTTGTTCTACAAATGGGGGGTCTTCGCATTCACGGAATGCGAGTTCACAGAGGAATATAGTGAATATAGTGAATCAGAGTGAATGATATTAGTTCTTTTACCACTAATTTGGGTTGCAAATAATGTTTGGTCCTATACAGTGGTTAATGCTCCGCCATTTCTTAAGCTTGGATTCTTTGAATTCTCATGGTCTTCATTTTTTTTTTTTTCAATTTCCAACTTCAGGTATTGACTACTCAAACCTGGATTTTTTTGGAATATTCTCGATTTTTCATTTCTTTCTCAGTTATTAGTACGTAGATTACTGTAGCTGAACTCCTACAAATTTATGTGAATGGGTTGCCCATTTTTTAGAAAATTTTTATATTATTTCTTAAACACTGTTGTCCAACCAAAATTTTA